GCATGGGGGGCCTGGAGGGCTGGGACCCACGGCTCAAGCAGGCCGAGGGGCTGGGTGGGGCTGGGGTGGGGCGGCTGAAGAGGGGCCAGGGAGCCTACTACGCCGCGCCCTCCATCCTTGGGGTTCCGATCTCTCTGCACGCAGAGAAGGAAAGCAGCCCTAGGCTTCTGCTCTAGGTCCCCACACCCATCACCTTTCTTACCCGGGTCTATCACTCTGATACGTCACATTTATGGAGCACCTACTGCGTACCAGGTTTGCTAGGCTACAGGCTCTCCTAAAATGCTGAAGAACAGTCTGGCCCTCCTTCCCAGTTACCTGCCGGCCTTGCGGCTTCAGGCCTGCGGCGGAGGCCTGCTCGCCCTCTTCAGCGGCTTCTACGCTGGGGAACAGTCTGACAAAGCACCGTGGCTCATGGCCTACGTCTTTCTTGACACACTGGTAGAAAGTCATTCCTTAAAGACGTTATAGCTCATGCAGTTTTCGTTAAAAAAACAAAACCAAACAAACAAAAAACACTCGCTCTTAGTCATTCGTTAGCATCCATTAAAAAAATACTCCAACTTAGAAATGATAAAGCAGCTCCTTGAGCTGAGAGGGTCCTGGAGGCTATGAGTAAGTCGGGAGGTGACTGGGGGAGGGGTTGTGACCCTGGGAAGCACTCCATCTAGGGACCAAGGGCAACTGCTATGTGATTTTGGGCAAATCGCAAAACTTTTTTTAATTGAAGTATAGTTGATTTACAATGTACGGCAAAGTAATTCAGTTGTATATGTGTATATATATATACACATACACATATATACTTTTTCAGATTCTTTTCCATTATAGGTTATTACAAGGTATTGAATATAGTTCCCTGTGCTGTACAGTAGGACTTTGTTGCTTGTTTCAAATTTCTCACGTTTCTAATCCATATGTCTTCATCTGTTAGAATGAGATATTAATACTGCTCCCTGGACCGATCTACGAAAGGTGCTTAGCACAATGCCTGGGACGTAGTAACCTCCTAATGAATCAGTCAGGGCTCAGAGGACACACAAGCTTGGAGGATGAGTGACAGGAAATCTCAGTGCCAGCCGGGTCACTCTTCCTTACCTGTAAAAGGAGGGTGGGCCTGGCTTGAGGCCCCTGAGTGAGGCTCTGCTTGGCAGGGAGGAGGACGGGGGTGTGGACGAGGGTGAGGAGGGTGGGCAGGGATGGAGTGAGTTCTGTGGGAGGTGAGGCTGTATGTTTCTATTAGCCTCTTTGATGTCCTTGCCTGGACTCCCGGAGACCACCCAGTCCCGCTGTGTCCTTGCTCTAAGCACTGACACCTGTGTGTGCAGCAGGGACAAGATCCAGTCTGAAAAGAAGCAGTCTCAGTCAGTCTCTCTCTCTTTTCCCAGTCCACCCCCAGCCCCAGTCTTTGTCCCCTAGAAACACCTGAATAGACTCCGGTCCCTCAAACTCACATCCCAGGTGTCTGGGGAGAAACTGGGAACTCATAAGGGGTACGTCCCCCCCACATTAGGACTGCTTCCCCACTGTCTGGGTGTGTGAGCTCAGGCCCCCTCATGGTTGCAGATATTCTCCTGCACTTTTCAAAGTTGCAGGATGATCTCATGTGATCCTCATAGTAGCCAAGTTAGGAAGGTATGCCTGGAATTATTACCCCATTCAACAAGTGGACAAATTAAGGCTTTAGGTCAAACAGGAAACCAGGTGCCCAGCGGGAGGCAGCACGTCCTGGTAGACCAGGCTCTTCCTTTTCTGGTGCTGAGGTCAGTGGGTGCCGGCTCTCCACAGGCCAGGAAGGTGGAGGCCAGTCCCCGGCAGCCAGGCTGGAGGAGGAGGGGGAGGAACCACTGCAGAGCTCAGCCCCCCACACTCAGGATGTGTCCCTCCTGCACGCTGTCTCCGGGGAGAAGCCACCATCGGACATCCCTGGAGAAGCAGGTGGGGCTGATGCTGGGAGAGAGCGCCAGCCCCCGGGCCCGGGGACTCCCCACAGAGGCAGGACTCTGGCTCCACTAAGACCCCAGCCTCAGGGGCCAGGGTGTCCCCTCCCAGTGAGAGAGGGGAAGGCAGGGAGGAGGCCCTCCTCTCCAGCTCCAGGTAAGCAGAAAAAGCCCAGCACTGGGGGCCTGGCCTCTGCATCGTCTCCCAGTGTCACCAACTCAGCAAGGACCACGTACAACCCCGTGCCTTGTGGGTCCGGCCGGGGGTCCTGCCACCTGGCCAACCTCCTCAGCACGTTAGCCCAGAACAACCAAACAGCAGACCCAAAGAAGAAGTCTCCAGAAGTGACCTGCCAAGGCCGGAAAAAGACTCGAACCCTCTACCGCTCAGGTAAGTCCCTGAAGGTGAGACGGGACCTCCGGGGTCTGGGCAAGGTGGGCTCACCAGACAGTGCAGCCCCAGGAGACTGAAGGGTGGTTAGCTGGCACACCACCTTGGCTAGATGCTCTCTTAACCTGTGGGGCCATGACTTCTGACCGTCAGAGGGGGAGGCTGGCTTCCCTCGTCAGAAAGAGACACTGGGCCCACGTTAGAAGGGGTAGAAAAGTAAAACACGACACAGTCCCCTGCCACAAAGCCCAAGAGAGAAGAGGCCCCTGCCCAGTGGGGAACTTGGTTGCAAGGCTCTGGGAAGGCCATGGGTTGGGGACAGTGGTCCCATCCAGAAGGCTCTCTCCTCTGCTGTCCGCTCCCTGGTGTTCGTCTTCATGGGAGTGTTTTCTTCCTCCAGACCAGCTGGAGGAGCTGGAAAGGCTCTTCCAAGAAGACCACTATCCGGACAGCGATAAGCGGCGGGAGATCGCCCAGACGGTGGGGGTCACGCCCCAGCGCATCATGGTAAAGGGGGCTGGCCGGCTGCTGTCGGTGGGGAGGGGAGCGCAGGGCTGGGACTCCGGGGGAGCGGAGCAAGCTCTCAGCCCCTCCCGAGTCGGGGCTGAGGTCGGGCCTGAGACGAGCCTGAGGAAAGTGCCTCAGAAGCCATCTAGATGAACCTTTTCAGGAAGAAACCTAACCTGACAGAGGGGCAGCGAGGCAGGGTGGTGCAGTGAGGCAGGGTGGTGCAGTGACCTCCTACCGTCCTGGAGCCATCGCGGGGCAGCCAGATGGAGCCTCAGGCTCTCCTCCATTTCTCAAGCCCTGCAGGTGTGTCTCCCCTCCAGGTGTGGTTCCAGAACCGCAGGGCAAAGTGGCGGAAAGTGGAGAAGATGAATGAGGAGACCAAGGACACCCCTGCAGGCCCTGCCCCCACCCCCGCCAGCCACCAGTGTGGGTAAGAATTTCTGCTCTTCCTGGCCCCTCCTCGTGGGTAGGAAGTGGGGTCTAAGCTGGGATCCTGGGGTCTAGGAGGAGAAAGTGTTGGAAGGCTGGGCCTGGGGAGCTGCTGGATACTGTTCAGAGGGGTTTGGGCTCGGTGGGGTTGGGAAGTGGCCAGGGCCTTGTAGGGTGGCCACGCTTGGCCCTTTTCCAGTCCGACGTGCCAGTCTGAATCCAGGGACCACTCGAGCTACAGTCACCATTCTGTCTGCCTCCAGTTCTGCAGCTGAGCTGGCCCCTGCTGTGCGCGCGGACCCAGAGCCTGGAACCTTCCCTCAGGAGCCCCCTCTGGATCCCCTTCCAGGTGAGCTGACCACCTTCCAAGGGTTGTCTGGGGCAATGGCAGCGCGGAAGTCAGCAGGGACAAAGGGTTCTTTCTTGATGGACATGGGAGCGGCCAGAGCTCTCCACTGTTTTGGTCCAGTGGGGGGACCTGGGCATTCTGGACTTCTCCCACCTGGCACTGCCAAGCATGCACCCCCATTTTCTTACTCTTACGACCTCTCTTTGACTTCTGTTCCCAGAGCCCCCCACAGTGCTGACATCTGACCAGACACGGACCCCAGCCCAACAGAGTGAGGGTGCTCAGAGGGTGGCGGTGACCCCACCACTCTTCAGCCCCCCACCTGTACGAAGGGCCAACCTTCCTTTTCCCCTTGGCCCCGTCCAAACCCCTGAGCTGATGCCTCTGCTGCTGGACACTCCAGGCAGTGACGGCAGCCACAAGGATGACCCCTGTGGGTCGTGGGGGACAAGGTATGCGACCTGAGGCAGATGGTGGCTTGAGTTATCTCGGGAGATATACAGAAGGAGGAAAGATAGATGGAACTTGGGAAGGGAGAGGGTGAGCTGGGAGGAGCAAGGGGGGGTAAACGTAATGAGGGTTAAAAGTGTAAGTGGATCAGGGGTGGGAAAGATGTAGGCTGTCACAGCAGCAGAGCAGGAAGGAGGGTGAGAAGCTCAGAGCAGGAAGAGGAAGAAGAGGCAGAATGTCTAGGGTGACAGATGCGGAGGGGAGGGGAGGGGACGCCTGCCACGTGCTAGAGACGAGGCTACCACCCGAGCCTCATGAAGTCCTCTTTCCCCCACAGCATCACACCACCCACTGCCTGCTCATTCTTGGAGGAGCTGGAACCCCAGGATTACCAACAAAGCAATCAGCCGGGACCTTTCCCGTTCTCCCAGGCCCCACCGCCCCCGCTTTTGCAGCAGCCCCAGCCCCAGTTTCCGTACCTGCCTCCCTTCCCCTTCCACACGCCCAGCTCACTGGCGCCTCCGCTGCCAGAAGACTCTCTCTTTGCGTGGTCCTATGGCCCCATCGGGGGCCCATGCCAGGGCGGCTTCCCGGGCCCTCCATCCGGGCAGACGCTGCTGCAGCCACCCTCTGGGAGCATGGGTGAGTTGGGGTGCTTTGAGGTCAAGGAAAGTGAAATGGGAGAGACAGCCTCCCTCAGGAGCTGGAGGGAAGGCCGGGCCATACGGGGGCTGAGCGAATCACTGCCCCTCGTCTGCTGTGGTTCTCAAGCTTCTTGAAGGCGGCAGAGCAGAGTGAGTCAGCTAGAGCACTCTGGAGTGAGGGAAGCAGAGGTGGGAGGCCCACTCAGCAGTCACGCGCTCCCCTGAGTGTCCCAGACTCTGAAGTGGGGATAACACTCCCAGGCCTTAGGGGGCTGGCGAGGGTCAGGGAGGGGAGGGCTGCCAGCCTTGGCACAGAGTAGATGGCGTCTGACGGGCCACTGGACCTCTGAAGTCCTGGAAGCGACCATCTTTTGAAGACCCAGTTCCTGTAGAAGGGGGAATAAGATGAGGGTTCCCAGTCTCCTCCAGCCTGTGTGAGAGGGCACTCGGCCCCACCCACGGTCCACTTTGTGTCACTGTCACCGAACTCGGGAGTGTGGCCTGGTCCTGAGGGGAGCCTCATTCTCGGGTCCCACCCTGTGTTTCTGTGGAGCAGGGAGGGGCTCTGACACGGGGCGTGCTGGAACGTGGTGGCTTCCCTTCATCCCACTTAATCTTTGTTGTGCTGACTCCCCAGGTGCAGTCCCCTGGAATGACCCCTGCGTGCCAGACCTGCCCTTCCTGGGTCCCTTCTGCCCGCAAGCTCTGGGCGCCCACCTGGCAGGTGATGGCTACTTCCCGGATCTGTTGACGGCCCCCTATGGCCCGGCTTTAGGCTGCCAGCCTTCCCCCGGCCTTGCCCGGGTGCCTGAAGGGGCCAGGCCGGGGCCCGGGCCCCCACTCAGCAAGGGCCGGGAGGGGCTGCCGGCCGCCTCTGTGGAGCTGCCCTCAGCCCCTGAAGGCCAGGAGGATGACGAGGACAGCCCCAGCCCCTAGCCGTGGGCCCAGGAGGGAGAGGCCACCCTGCCAGAGGGGCTGGGGCGCCACCGACGCCGAGGAGATGGCGGCTAAGTGTCAGGAAAGACTGGACTCTACTGAGAGGGCGAAGTCGGACATTTCCCCCCTTTGTGGGCTCATTTTTCTGGACACGGATTTGAGAAAGAAGAGGGCTGGCCCTGCCCCTTGCCCACACCTCTAGGCTGTGGTCCTGAAGAAAGAGGAGGGCCCGTGTGACCTCTGGATATTATATCAGTTTGTGTTGTTTCTTTTCCTTGCTACACAGATGAGCCAGCATGTCCACTGTCAGCAGTAAATTAGTCTGTTCTCGGGTTTCTCTCCGTAACTGTGTCTCCCCACTCACCCAGCTAAGCGAAGTGCTCCACGTCCTTCACTGCCTCCCTCGCAGCTGACCAGCTGCGGCTCTGGTCCTGGGCGTCCTGGGCCTCCTTCCTGGGCCCACCTCTCCTGCTGGAGAAGGAGTTACTATCTTGGGCCTTGTCTTCAGTCCTGCCGTGAAACCATGTTCTCGTCCCAAACCCAGAACCGAACCCGAGCGCCGGCCCTTCTCTGGAACTGGGGCCCCGCAGGGAGAGGATTATGAGAAGCCCAAGGCTGTTTCAGGTCACGTCTCTAGGGTTGTGAACCATGATTTCTTTTCCCAGAGCTCTTTTTTTGGGGGGTGGGTTAGGAATGAGAAGTGGGAGCATCAAGAACAGGATGCTTATTTCTATGTAGATAGATAGGTAGGTAGGCATCTGTATATATAGAGACATCTAAAGGTATAAAGCACTCACATTTGATGGCCCTGCCGTGTCGAAACAGCTAGAATCTGAGAACCGCTTATCCAAACCACCGTGCATTTGAGGGGTATATAGGGGGGCGGTGCCAGTCTGGACCTCCAAGTGCTATGATTATTGAAAAATACACATTTTCCCCCCAAAATGTGTACTATAAGCAATTATTATATTCATCACAGTAGTTCTGGAGTCATGGCCTGTAAGAACTGAAAAGGAAAAATATTTGAAAATGGAGAAGAAACTTCTCAGCTACACAACACACACGTCCGTGTATCTGTGTAGGATTTTAAAGACCAGCGCTATTTAGTAGTTTCACTCTAGCATCCTAGCCACTCTCTGACTGCCTCACAAGGGTCGTACTAGCCAGGTTTCAGCAGCCTGCGTCGAGGAATAGAATGTACACACCGAAGTATGAAATGTCTTGTGTTGTGACGTAACTGGGTCTTTTAAAATACACATTTCACATCTCTCTCATTTTCACATTCTGTCTCTTGAAGCCCATGAAATGAGCAGCCTGAAAACAGACAGGGGAAAAGATTCTCCCATAACAGGGGCCGAGAAGGATTACTACTCCTTACGTGCCGTTTCTCCTCTCTTGCCATCAGTCACTACAACGTACTCTTGCTTTCAAAGCCCAATGGGGAGGCTGGATATTTCCTCTAGACCTTAGCTGGTTCTGGCTTCGGCCACTCAGTCTAGTAGTGCCTTTGTATGGATAGCAAACAGCAGATGCCTACAGCCAGGAACTGAAGCTGATGGACTTCATATGCAACAATCAGATTAAAAGTGTCAGACAATCTAACAGTATACTGCAAACAAAATGAGTGAATTGAGAATTAAGAATGAACGGTAGACCAGAGAAAAATAGAGAAAACTCTTCAGAAACATAGAATCCGAGGCTGACGAGCCCAGTCACCTGGCAAATGCAGGAATGACCTCGATCCCACCCCTGAGGGAGGGTCCCTGGGTCTCGATTCTCCAGTGGGGACTCTAGAGGAGGGGGCAGCTAACCCCTTCTCACAAGCACCTATAGAATTTTTTAAAGCTTTAATTATTACGAAGTTCTTTCTTCTGCTAGGAGGACATCAATATCATTTAACTGATCTGAGTTTTACTTTCCATGGGCTACAAAGAATGAACCTAGTATCACGAAACCTGAGGACTGCATGTCATTCCTCAGAGCCCTGGCCGCCTTGCTCGCTCTTGCTTTTACCACCCTAGACGCCTCTTTTCCAATGCACATGAGTTTATGTTCCTTTTAAGTGGGGTGCCAGTGCTGAACCTCACTTTGCGGTCTGGTCTCCTGCATCGTGCAGTGGAACGGTTACCACCACCAAATACACATTCTCTCCGATTAACGTTGTCTGGGGAGGAATTTTTTTTTCAGCCAGTTCACATTCTTGGTCCAAGACAAACTTTTTGTCAACTAGGACTCCTAGGTTATTTCAATAGAAGCTGTTTTAAAACCATTATCTCTCATTTTGCATTTGGAGAATTGATGTTTTGAGTCTAAATATACAAAAATGTACACTGCTTGTTCAGTTTCATTTGGTTAATTTTAGCCCATGACTGAGATCATTGAGATAGTCTGACGTCCTTAGAGTGTTGGTCTTTTAGGTCCTCTTTGCCGTTCTCATATACAGCCAGACTCATTAGTTCTCAGCTGTGCAAAGTTGGGTAAGTTTCTTAACCCCTCCAAGCATCAACTTCCTCATTTGTAATGAGAATAAGAAAATACCTACTTCATAGGATTATCATGAGGATTAAGTGAGTGAATACATATCAAGAGCACAGAACAGTATCTGGCTCATAGGAAGCACGTAATAAAGCATCCTTTGTTATTTAAAAAAATAGTTTGACGTCCTTATATAAATTAGCCTCATTTTTTGCAGTTTTGTTCTCTCTGTAAATTGGTTCAGTATGTTTTATACATTTTATAAACAAGTCATTGATAATTAGTAAATAGGATATAAGTAAGTACAGAACATTTTGACATAGCTCCTTGAAAACACTTTACTAGTGAGCAGTTTTTTGAGTAGAGTTAAACTAGCTGAAAAATCTTCCTTAACTGTATTATCATCCAGGGCCATCATTTGCCATCTCCAGGATTTTAGAAAAGGATTTGGGGAAAAAAACGTTGCTGTAGACTCACCAAGATTGAAACATACTCTCTTTGTAGCATGCTTATCATTTCACATTCTTGGAAACCTAACAGCCTACTGAGATTCGTTTGGCATGGCTCATTCTTAAGGAACCCCTATTGTCTTTTATGATTATTTTTAATCTAAATGTTCACAAAACATCTTTCAATAATCTCTTCTGGAAATTTATAAGAGTTTTCCATTAAATTTAGTCTCCTTTAGTGTCTACAAATCATCTCTTTGAACGTGGGGACAACTGCCTCTATTAAATCTTAGGGATCCTCTCCTGGTATGCTCTGGAAGAAACATAATTATTTAAATCAACTTATAAGACTTCTGTTTGGGTTTTGAGACCATACTGTGTTTTTCGTCCAACCGTTTTAATTCCTAGGATGTTTTCCTTTATGGAGAAGACAGGCTGAAGTAAGAGTCAAGTGGTTCTGCTCTCTCTGTATTATACGTTGACCTCACAATGTCAGCCTCGAGCAGCACATTCATTTCTTCCTTGTTCTTTCTGTTCCAAGTTTGGTTTTATTACCATCGCTAATGCTACTGTCAGTATTAGTCATTAACATTTCACAGCACTGAGTTTCTTCCAGGCACACGTTGAGATACTATCCTTAAAATTCCAATACATGCCTCCTTTTAACTTTTAAATCCTTTTTAGTCCTTTTAAAATCTGAGCTTGTAGCCACATTGTTACCTTTTGGATGAGTTCTTTCATTCATATTAGAATTATTTGTGATTACGTCTGTAGAACCTCGTAATCCCACCTCCCTCTGAGCCTTCCCCATTTGTAAGGATCTATGCTTCCTAGCTTTTGTTTGGGATTTGGCTGGAGGGAGCAGACTTTGCCTGCTGGAGGGCCATGGCCAGGCCACTGGTCTTCTCAGACCCCAGGGCAAGTGAATTTCAGCATTCCTCCCACATAACCTCCCCCCCCACCCCCATCCTGATGTCGTCACCCTCCAACGGTGTAACTGCAGAGATTGCAGGTTGGTCAGAGCAGAATCCTTCCTTGCGAACTCCAAAACAAAAACAAAAACAAAAACAAAAACCCCAAAACGAAAAACACGAAAAAAAACCCCACCCTGTCTACGCCTCCAACTAAGCATGCACCGCCATGATATTTCCACTAGATGGCAATCCACCACCGGTTTCACGGCGGCCTTACTCTATTCTAGGGGTTTACTGGTATGAAAGCATATGATCGCTCTTTCTCCAAAATGCCCTAGAGCCACTGAGATCAGGTTCAAACGTATTAAAGTCATTTGGGTGGCAGCTTGGTTTGCCAGATGAAATATAGGATGTTCAGTTAAATTTGAATTGCAAATAATTTGTTTAGTATTTTGCTAAACCTGGCAGCCTGAGTTGCAGCGCTTTGCTAGCGACGTCTACATCCACCAGAGTTGGCAATTAAAGCAGACTGTCCAGGAGCCAGGAGTCAACCTCTCTATCTCTGCTCAGCCTTCTTACAGTTCAGGCTCCTGAATAATCCTGTTCATTTAGTACATTCCTCCCTCCTACCATTATAACCCTTCATACAGGCTCCACACCGGTCCAAAAAAATGCTCTAAAATCTGTCAGATTCCTATTATATTTTCTGTTCCTGTTAGTCAAATTTTTAATGAGTTATTTATATATTTCTGAGAGTCCATTAGAATGTACTTTGAAATGCGTATTTTAGCCTCATTTGCATGAAGAGAACACAGGAAAACAGGCTGCAAAAGACTATTCGGCTTTTGTTGATTTCGCTCGAAGCCTTAAGTGGTCTTGAATAAGCGTAAGACTGATTTCTTGGAAATGAAAAATCTTCATTCACCCAGAAGTGGTGTTATTTTAGGCTAGAGGGACAGTCTGGGAGATTGAGGGTTCTCATAGTTGTAATTTGGTTTATAATGTTCTTCAAAAAATGCCCTCATTTGAGTTTCATCACAAAGTCCCGAGAAACGGAGGCTGACATTCATTCCATCATTCAACAGGGATTTACGGGCACTGACAGCACTGGGTGAACACAAAGATAAATGTCTTTCTAGATTTCAGGGAACTAATCATCTCGCTGGGGAGGCTGACAACACAATGACCAGTTATAGTACAGGCGGGCCATGCTGTGCAGGGCCAGCCATGAGGACAAAGTGTGGCAGAAGTCGGACAGGTACAGCAACCATGTCTGTGGGAGCTAAGAAAGCTTGGGAGTCCTAGGCAGCACTCCCAAAGGAGAGGAGAGTTTGGATAAGCAGAGAAGGGAGGAAAGGGTATTTCGGGCAGAGGCACAGTGAGTGGAAGGTCACTGAGACTGGAAAGATGATCAGGGAGAAGGTCAGAGTGGCTGGATTTGGGTGGGGAAGAGGCCACGGAGGCACTGTGGCAGAAGATGAGGCTGGCGAGGGACGGTGGGAAAGGCTTCAGATTCAGTGCTGGGATGCTTGAGGTGTATTCCTCGGGTGATTAGAGAGGCGCTGGCATTAACACACCTGCATGACTTTCCCAAATGTGTGTTTTAGAAAGGCACACGGAGCGCAAGATCGGAGGGCATCGGGAAGAGATGGAGGAAAACGAGGCAAGCCTGCTGAATGAGTGTAAGTGAGAGATGACGACGGGCTTAGAGGAAGGGAAAGAAAGGGGCCAGAGTAGAGAAATATTTACGAGTCAGAATCATTGTGATGTGATAGAAAATTAGTGGAAGGAATCAAAAAGAAAGAGAAGAGGACAAAGACTTTGGTAACTAAGAAATGCTGTTGTCTGAGAAAGGAAAGGATGGGGGTGGAGCACACATCGGGAAGGGGGGCCGCTCTGTGTGTGGATGCGGGGGCTGTCGCTCCTGTGGTTGTCTTGGGGGGACAAATTTTCAGAGAAAAACGTGGCACTGGGGCCTGGGAGACTCCAGGTGGCCATCGGGCTGCGTCAGCACAGAAAACGCCAGTTGAGGTCAGGGGGCTGTACAAGATCACTCAGGGAGAGCATGCAGCATGAAGGAAAGTGGTCTCAGGATGGACTCGGAGAGAAGCCAACAGAGGAAAGAAAAATGGGGCCGAAGGAAAGACGACGCTGGGTTGATAAGTAACAGCTGAGGGCAGAGATGGCGCGAGCAGGAGGACGTGCTGGGTGCGGAAGGATCCAGCCCAACTGGGTCAGTGGGTCTGGAGGAGGTTGGACAAATTATTATGCAAATTAGTTCTCATTATCCCAATTTACAGAGGAGGACAGTGAGGTTTCAATGATTTCCTAAGAATGCCTTAAATGAGAGGTCTTTTTGAGTTTGCTTTATTTTCCACTTCACCGTAGGCAGCTAGAGGAGTCTTGCTTCCTGAATGCCCAATATGTCATCTAAAAACCTGAAGGAGCCTTACTCGGTAAAGGGCTATCAGTCATAGCCAAATTTGTGTACGTTTTCTGAGACCACAGGAGGAACTGAAACAGCTTACTTACTTGACTCAGAAACTGGTCCTCAGATAAAACATCAGTGATGGTGGTAACCATTTATTTAGCATTTATTGTTCATCTAGCTCTTTAACAGGTGATTTCCTCTTACAACAGCCCAATAAGGGTATTATTCACTTGACAGGTGAAAATCTGAGACTCAGAGAGGTTTGAGTATTTGCCCAAAGCTGCAAAATAAATACACTTTGGACTGGATGTCAACTATGATAGGAGGTGCCAACTCCAAGAATTGATAGATACAAAAAGTGGTGCATTTTGATAGCTTTAGAGGGAGATGAGAAAGAAAGTCAGGAGCTGGGGGTGAGTGTGATAAAATGATGGGTGTAATCTAGTTTACATTTAGAATTGAATCCTTCCTTAGACCCTCGGCCTGCATTTAAACACTCAGTAGTTTGATTTAAAAAGGAGTAGGGACACCATTGTGAGACGAAAGGAGAAGAGGACGTGGCTAAAAGGGAGCAGGAAGCTGCCTATTCCAAAACTGGGAAGGGAATTAGAGTACATGAAAGGAACAGGCATGGGGGGAGGGGGGCATCTTTAAGGGGTGACATGAGAAAAGGTGGTGGGGGTGGGGGGAGCTAGATGGCAAGGGTGGGTCCAGCTCTGACAAGCATTAACATCTGGTAACTCATGAGAGGAGTGAACAGGATACAGTCAACGTGAGATCGTTATCAGGCACTCTTCGAGAAAGATCGCAGGTGAAAAGACCAAGAGCAGAGAGACCAGTGGGGAAGTCATGCTGGCGTCCTGGAATGAGGTGTTGAGACTAAAATGGTGTTAGGGGAAGGAGAGGGGAGCATCACCCTGAGCAATGCTGGGAAGAAATGAACAGAGTTTGACAATATGGCTGGGGCGGAGAGAAAGTCCAGTTGACCTCAGGTTGCAGGGCCCGGGCGTGTCATCTGTAAGCCACAGAAGTCCAGAGGAGCCGGCTTCTGCATCTTCGTTTGAAGCTTTCACATTTTATTTCTTCCTTAGTCTCATTACGCCAGTCAAGTTGCCTCAAGTACATTCCTTCTATTGTCTAAGGATGGAATTTCCACCCACAGAGATTCCACGGTCCTTTCTGGTGCACATTTTCTCTCTATTGCTGTTCATGTCGTCCCTTCCTTCTGGTTCTAACCCATGCGTCCTTCTCCCCGGTTTGGCACCCTCACCCCAGCCGCACTCCTGCAGCTGCCCAGGGATATAATCCGGGGTTCTGAGCCCCCATCAACAGCAGGCAGTGAACCTTCCCATGACATTCCAGCTTGCCCACTTCTCTGTGTTGCCTTTTTGCCCATTACTCATGTTACTTTCTGTAACTCATGTTACTTCTGTTACTTTCTGTAACTCTTAATTATTTGAATTGGTGACATTCAAATAACATTTTCATACCCAGCGAACTAAAATGTGTCCCCAGAACCAATTTAAAATTTTGAAAAACAAATACTATATACATTCATTTTCTTCGATTGTCAACTGAAAAACTCCTCTTTCATCTTTTCCCCCTTTTATTTAATGCCAGTATTATTTTATTTCAAGGAGGAAGCCCAGTCTCTCTGCATCAATTCTCTTGTCCTCTTCTCCCCTAAAGCTGAACAGCCACCCCTTCAGACAGACAGACAGACAGACAGACACACACACACACACACACACAGACCCGGACTCTCCAGTTCTTTAAGTCCCTGCAGTGTAAGGACAGTGAATGGCTGTAAACACCCCGCCTTATTTCTTTCCAGTCTGTTGGCCTGGCCAAGCTCAATCCAATCACTAAAACTTGCTTATTAACAATTCCATGAGTCTGACCGCCAGCTCCTCTCACTTTCTCAAAAGCAATCTGCCTGTATGTATCCTGTTTACTTCATCTTTGCACTTGATGGCAAGTCACCCTCAACCTCTTGTGAGCCGCACAAACTCAGCAGATCCGTTGCTTGAATCCTACAGGTGAACAGCAGTTTCCCCTAACTCGTAGTTACAACCAACTGGCTGTGTGACATTAGACAACTCACCTCTCCTCGCCAGGCTCCACGTGGCAGTGAAGGAGTGAGACACAGGGGTCTTTAGGGAAACACTCTAGCACTGGCTGGATGAGTCCCATCCGAGGGTCCGTCTTTTCTTTCCCGTCTGCATTTTCCTTTTCTCCCTGAAACTGCTTGTGTGATGGTTGAAATCTCTTGCTGGGCTTGCGGACTCTTAGGGACCCGACCACTGTCTCCCATGACCTGTCGCCCTCCGCCACTCTTTCCAGAAGAGTCTGAACTGTCTCCTTGGTGTTCTGGTGCCCCTCGGCCTGTGAGCTGAAACCTCCACCTCACCCAGCCCAGTGAACTGACCCAGCTCCTGCTCTGCCTCCAGACTCCCATCTGGAGACAGCTGCATCTGCATCACTCAGGCCACGTGCCAGGAGAATGTCTGCCTGCCCACCGGGGCTCCTGGGGAGCTTTGTGGGCCAGACGCGGGCCCCTCCCTGAACCGGGCTCTGCCCTCAGGCCCGTGACTCACTCACCAAGCAGCTGGGATCAGTAGTCACGCCCTCGGAGCTCCCTCACCAGCTCCGGGAGGGTGGGGAGTTTACAGCTCGCAGCAACCCCACTTCCTTCCCTCCCGGGCTCCCTGTTTGCAGGCCACCCAGAAGGAGTAAACACCGTCTCCCACTCACCGGTGCTCCCGAGTCTCCTTTGTGCTGTAGGCTCACTTCTGCGACGTTCCTGGGAGTTCTGCAGGCCTGATGGATGCTATGCTTCCTCCTCTTCCAAGGAAGAGGCCAGAGAAACTTCCACTCCGTAATCGTCAGGGACAGTGGGTGGGTTGGAAGAAACGGGTCAAATGCTATGAAGCCTAGAGAATGTTCTCAGTCTGTTTGAATCATGAGTAAGTTTGGCATCTGTTTCTCTTTAGCTCATTTGCTTGTAACCTTTGGCCCCTCCGCACACCTGACTTCAGAGTCAGAAGATTAAACAGGCTTCTAGCTGCTGTAATCATGCGGCTCCTGAGTCATATTCATAGCAAAAGCGACTCAAGGGTAACTGAGCTCTATCAGAGATAGGGCCAAATCACCACCGAAAAGTATTCACGTAGAGGTTTGGAAAACCACGTACCAACATGTCAAGCCTCAGTGGTGTGTCCCAGGGTGGGTGGGTGAGGAACAGTTGTGTGTGCAAGCAGCCACGGTACCAAAACACTGGATTTCTGATTCAACCTCAGTCACAAGAAGAGGCTCTGATGAGGGCAGCATCACTAAATACTTAAAAGCACAGCATCTATGGGCAGAGCAGCGTGGGATCCCAAAGGAAGCTGGGTTTGTTTCAGGGGAGCCAGCGAATATAATTTCTTTACGTTTTCAAAGACTTTGAAACAACTTCTATCCTAAAGACTAATTTAAAAAAAATAATCAGTCTTCCTGAGACCAAAATCCACATTATCTGGTGTCATGGCTGTAGATTACTTAAGAGCTAGAAAACAAAGCTGTGGGAAATAAACACGTCTCAGACTGTTAGCTGTCCAGACACTAACACATTAGCTGATCTAACTAAAGTCATTCCACGTGACTGCGACAGAGCAGGTGACGCCCAGGGAAAACCTGAAGATCACGGCTAGCTCGAAGTGAAAAGATGATGGTGAAAATAAGCTTCAAAGAGCAGCTTTCGAAGCTGCGTGAGGTGAAGGTCACAGACGGAAGCTCAATGTGGTCAAACACACAGAGGAAATGACTGAGCGGGTATTTATATGAGGTTTAGCTCTGGGCTTGCTACAGTTCAGAAAAGGAGCAATCAATAGGACTGCTGTCAGTGTCTCCTGCAGACACTGTCTCCTGCGTGGTTTTGCTTAAAAAGCCAACCAAACACTATTCATATCTGCCTCAGGTGAAGTTGCCCCCCAAAATGTTGGTTAATGGTTGTCTTCACAATCTCATAAAAAGCTGCCATGTTTCTAACACAATGGTGCCAATCAGGATTCAAGAATAAATTCTGGAAGTCTTTAGAAGGAAGGGACCATAAGTTGATCCGCGCCCAGTTTTCCAAAACCCAAAGTATAGAAAATTGAGTAATTCAATTGAGGACGAATTACTCATACCTAGGCTCTTTCTGTTGTTGCTTGTTTTTTTGCTTTGTTTTTCTTTTTCTTTTTTAAAACCAAGGACAAGTAGAAGCCAATTGTCTCTTAATTTCCTAGATTAGGTAAGAATAACCTGATTAAACACATACACATCAAACACCTAAAGACAGGAGTTTTAGTCTTACAGAAGTCAGCTCTAACAGTACTCACAAAGCCCCAGCAACTTCAAGCCAAGAAGCAACCATTCAACTAAAAATCATTTGTGTGTTTATCATTCAGAAGTTGGTATTTTACCTCTCTGGGAAAGTAAGGGAGAATTTGCCTAGAAAATATAAGTTTGGATATGGCTTTGTTTGAACCATATGGCCAGTATTCAAATACTGGTGTGGACAAAAAATTTGAATTGTAAGTATTGTTACTGCTATTAAGAAGATTCGGTTGTTAGTTTACATATAATAAATACATATTAATATATCAATACTAATAATAAAAAGCTTGCTTTCTGAAAATCATGAAAAATTTCAACCAAACTTCTCTAAAATCATCCCTATTTTAGACTTTTTTGGCAGTGTCAGACTTCTTAGGATAAAATAATATTAACTCGAAGTTAATTGCAGTCAGTAGTTATAACTTTTCTCACAATTAAGCCAGCCAACTTATATTTTAGGATGGACTGAAAACAAAATGTGTGAACAAAAGTGATACTATCATGTCATAGCATCGTTCGCTGGGTACAGGACAGAGTTTATAGCATTATTCATACCTGTGTGCAAAGCTGCGGTGCAAATCTGCTTTTGTACTGTAACGAGCTAGCTTGAAAGACGACCATACCACTGCTGTCCGAGGGCTCGACAGGAGGGAAAAAAAGGTCAAGGATGGTGTTATTCAACTGAGAAAGGCAACCCAATGGGAGATAGAGAGTCATGCAGTGTAGACTTGGATGGGACTCTGGAGGTTACTTGTCTGAACCTACATCTTACATCTAAGGAAACTGAGACGCAGACAGGCTGCCTCGTGGCCGTGCGGTAACTGGAGTTCAGGTCTGACTTGGATCCTAGGACTCTTTCCATCACACGATGCTGCTTTTCACAAAGAGGATGAGACGGCGGTGGAGATACCCTCACGGTAATTCAAGTGAAAATGTAAAATCGTGAATGGTCTGAGTAGGGTATCCAAACCCACCCAAGCTCGCCTAGACCTTAAGGAGGTCTGAATGGGGTTTTCATCACCCATCAACTCATTCTAATCCCTTATACAACCTCTGAGGCCAAAACAAGCAGAAGAAGTGTCCAAACTCTCAGGAGTCAAAGAAAGAGTCAACCAGCGCCACAACCAGTTGGCACCATCGTGGTCTTTCTTGATACCTAAGTCAAATAGCCTGGAATCCTCATGGGATTCCCTGTTCTGAATCTTGTTTGGTGCTCAGGAGTCTGAGAGGAGAACATACTTGGAGAAGTGCCAAGTTTATTAGAGTGAGAGCGATTCACCCTCACACAGCCACTGCCCGACACAGGTCCCAGAGACGCATGCGCTGACCTTGCACCGCTAACTATGGAATATCTCTAGGGTTGGAAGATACCTTAAAGGTTGCCGGGTTGACCCTCCCATCTGATACCCTAATCCCCCTTAAACGTCTCCCTCCGGTGGCCTGAGGTCAGATTCTGTTGAACATATGACCATGATGGAAACCGGTCAGCTCTGAATCTGCACCCTGGAAGAAGAGAATGTTTAAGAGTAACAGGGTAGTAGACATAAAGTTCCTTGGCTTAGGCCCTGCTGGTTTCCTTTTCCCATGAGAAAAGGTTCCCAGAGTCCAGTAAAGTCCCTCAAAATCCCCCCACCAAGCACAAAGCACAAAAAAAGGAGGCCTGGGACTAGCGACTGGCAGCTCGAGTTTGTCCTTGGGCTTTTGGAAGGTCTAGTTCTTGGTCCACTGAAGGCCTCTGTTGCTGGGTTCCCAGGGCCAGCCCTGTCCAGGGACATCTGGTCCTTAAGCTCAGGGGATTCCTCCCAGGAAACATCTAGGGCTGCTGTTCCACCAGCTGGAGTTTGGCAGTCTTGACTCGGTGGGCTTCCTTCAGGTTCCGCGCACGGACCTCTGGGTTGGAAATGAACTCCACTTGCTGTACAGGGAACCAGCCTTGCTCCCCATCTGAGAGTCTCACGCCCTCCAGCCAGCCTATGGGCACAGGGTGGGTGGGAAGAAGAATTACCTGGGAAAGACTCACAATAACTTCCCCCGGACCTCTTCCAGGAAACTTGTCTGAATTTTAAGGCCGAAGGGATGGAGAGCACCCAGAGCGGGCAATCCAGCCTCCAGGGCGCTCGCTCTGGCTGCTTTTGAACCTTCTCCAGTCTTAGGAGTTAAACTGTCTTCCTCCCGGATATATTTGAAATCCTAAGCCCAGGTACCTCAGAATGTGATCTTATTTGGGAATAGCGCTGTTGCAGATGATTCGTAGTTAAGATGAGGTCATACTTGAGTAAAATGTGCCATTTATCCACTATCATTGGTGTCTTCATAAAAAGAGGGGAAGGTGGGACACATACACCACTCACAGAAGGAAGACAGAGGTAGAGACAGGAGTTACGCTGTCACAAGCCAAGGAACACCTGGGGCCTCCAGAAGCTGGAAGAGGCAAGGAAGGATCCTCCCCTGGAGCCTTCAGAGGGAGCCTGCCAACACCTTGATTTTGATCTTCCAGCCTCCAGAACCATGAGAGAAGTTTCTATGTTCTAAGCCACTCAGCTTGTGAAGCTTTGTCACAACAGCCCTGACAAAGGGAGACACCCACACAGAGCATCCCACCTTCAACGCCCAGCCTGCTCCTCGTGGGCTCTCCCTCTTACCATCGCTGCTCTGCTGAGTCACCATCACCACGTCCGCCTTCTCTAGTGCCAACTCGTCGTTCTCTCGGGGTTTGTAGGCTCGAAGGCACTGCACCTGCGGGGAGTCTTTGGAAGAGAAGGGCAGGAGAGAGGTTAGGAAAGGCTGGTGACTAGCACACGGAGAAGAAATCACAGGGGATGCTTGGGAGGACTTGGGAAAGAGAAAGTCTGGGCTGTTGAAAGTTACAGATAGGAGAGACCATAGGAAAAATCTCCATCCTCTGCCAGGGAACAAAATGGTTGAAAAGGAAGTAGAAATGCCAGAAAGGAAATGAATCAAAAATTCTATTTCTCCAGCGAAGATAAACTGAGAAATATGTTGTGAACACCTTTTAGAGACTCATTATCACAAATAACAGAGATTCTGCTAAAGGTCCATCTTCCCACCGAAACGCTAACGCTCCCTGATTCTCTGGTCCTTGGTGAATTCTGAACTCCTTGAAAACTGGCTGTGACAAACCATTTATCTGTTACCCAATCGTTTCACGTACGTGCTCTGCTTCTCCAACAACACACTGTAAACTTCGAGTCTGTGACTCATGCTTCATTTTCTTCACAGAACACGACGTGGGACTAGAAGAGACTTAACCAGTGGGTTTCCAGGAATGACCTAAACAAGGCACTTAACGCCCTTCACCTTCAAGTTTCCTCATCCGTAAATGACAGGGTTGATAAGGTGACTCAAGGAAATTCTGGATTTTCTATGTTTCTGTATTTTGAAAACCAGAGGAAATTTCTACAGTTTTGAAGTGCAAAATAACAAGCCTCAGAGCACACCTGACTCACCGCCTTCTACCGTACGTGGGTTTATTTTCCTTCGTACTTTACCGCGCTGCGCTGGTTCTCTTAGAAAACAACTGAAACACTGCATTGTTATCTGTGCTTAGTTTTCTAAAGGTCGTCGATACCTGACATTCACAGCATCACAGTGACAGAGGGAGAATTAGCTCGCCCTCCTTACCTACTGGGGAACGATGTGGCGCACCCCGAACAAGTTACCAAAACTCAGTTTATAGCCTGTTTCTCCTGCTTCCTTTTCCAAAGTTCCTTGTATTTGTTTGACCTTTTGAGTCACCAAAGGCCCAGTGTTCCTCTGAATTCAGTTCCTCTCTGGATATGAATTAGGGAATCCTTGCTGGAGGACAACTGTGGGGTTTATATGAGACTCAGACATCCACTCTCTGGGGTAGGAGAGAGCTCAGCGGTAGAGTGCATGCTCAGCATGCATGAGGTCCTGGGTTCAATCCCTAGTATCTCTATTAAATTAAAAAAAAAAAGAAGTCCAGTCTTAGCATGAATGCAGATGCATTCACAGTGTGCTGTCTGGAAGCCTGGGACAGAGGCAGTGTCTCAGGTCATCCTATACAGGAGGGCGTGTGGCCAGGACAACTCTACTATATTGTGATCCTCCCCAGCTCCTACTCCAGACCTCCTTTCTCCCCATACTTCCCCAAGACCTCCAAGTCAGTAAAATCTAGGAAAAATAATAGCAGGATAGGCCTGAAGGGACAAATTTAAAAAAAAGCAAATGATTGCCCAAGGTGGGGAATGTATGGGGAGGGAGGAGACACTGTCACGGTGATGAGCAGCTTTAAGCAGATACACCTGAGGAGTCCAGGCTCCAGTACCCAGCCTTCCACCTGGAATTCTGAGCCAAAGCAATAAATGGAAGCCTCCCAGAGTTACTTCCTAGCCTCCTAAACTCCTGCACCCAGAGGAGACTTCTGACCCCACCACTTCTCTCTCCCTCATACACCTCTACCCACCATAACACTCCAGAAGGTCCAGCTCCTCTCTTGGCATGGCCAAGGCTGAGATCCATCGAAGTTTTTCACTCCTGAGAAAACAAAGAAGGGTCATTGCTTCAGCTGCAGCTCTCGGGGTGCAGGATAAGGACCAATGACGAGGAAGGGAAAGGACTGTGGGAAAGACTTAACTAGTTCAAAAAGTTGTCTAGTTCCATAATGTCTAGGACAGAAGTCAACAGGGACTCCACTTGGATGGAAATTTGGCAGGACCGTGAACTGCATGTTCATGTGTCTTGTCATCCTTTATCTTTCCCCTTCTCTTTCCAAGCTTATCCCCTTAATGGCATCTCCTCTTTCAAGTTGGGGCATAAAGTTAACTGTCAATTACACATATGGAGATTTTTCCATTTTAGGACGTGTACTCAGCATAATGTGCATCTCAGTTTCGATTCCTTGTATCACTTTGCATACTTCTTGACACTCTTCTGCCCACCTTCCTTCCATCGAATATCTCAGAGATGAAAACTATTCTATAATCATAATTGGATCAGGGAGATACATCTACTATTTTGTTGTTGTTGTTGTGATGTAATATCATCCAAGCCTAACTGTGTAATTAGTTGAAGGTTTTTGCTTTATCTTAGCCTCTGCTTCCAAACGTGGGGAAGTAACTGAGAGCTGACGCTCTTACTGTCCCAGGAAGATGCTGCCCAAAGCTCTAAACAAGGAACTGGAGTCTGGATCTGAAGACATGACTTGGGTGACATTTTGTACCTGTTCCAGCCCCTCTGTTCCATAAGTGGCATTACTGACCCCACCCTGAAGTGTCTTCCAAGGGACAAAACTGCAAAATGGTCCTCAGACCATTAGGTATCTCATCAAACTTTTCAAAAAAGAAGAGATTTTTGTCTATCTTTCGTAACAGCAAAAATAACTACAGCTGTTCACTATGGTACTGTGCGTTAGCTTTTTAAATATTCCTCACATTGTGTGTACGCGTGAATGTGTTTTATAATTATTGTCATTAAAAAGATGAGCAGATCAACGTTCTCAACACTGTGGATTTTGGCTCAGTAGAGGACTGGGCTGGAAGGTGACAGCAAAGAAACCAAAGGCACCTCAGTGCTTGTCTTATTCATGTCTTAGTCATGGATATGCCCACCAGCCTTGGGCACTGAGGAATTTCTGGCTTGTTACTCCATGCCAGTCCATCTCCTCTCTGGTGTCTTACAGACTTTGTCCTGGGGATTCCCTCCGGATGCCCCCCAGTCCAGAATGGACGAAACAGTGCAGCCGCTGTTTTCTGAACACATGTGCTGCCTTGGTCCCGCCTCCTCGCCTGGCTCTCGTCCCTCCCTGCCCCCATCTCCTCTGCTCAGCCCCGTCTCACTGGGTCTCCGTGCGGAAGAGGAACTCGGCCCGGGTGCCCTGCACGTTGTGTCGCAGAAAGAGTCGGAAGAGGTTTTTGTGAGGCCCATGTAGCTTCATTTCGCACTTCTCCACTCGGATGGAGGAGAAGGGAGCATGGTCGAACACCAGGAATCGGCTACCCCTGCAAAACACAAGACTTTTCAGCCTGATTCTGGAGTTGTCGTACTTCATGCACCCTCGAGTCTTTGAATTCAGAAATCCCTGTCCTTAGCATCTGCAGCCTGCAAATTCTCATGAAAACCACAAGCTCGTATTAACTTGCTCTTAGGATGCTGGGTAGCTAGGAGTCCCCAGGGATGTAAACTACGTATCCAGTGCAACAGATACTTCACTACTTTCAAGAGTTAAAGAAACAGAACCAAGATAAAGTTTCTAAGGTCCTCAGGACCAAAGAGTGAGGATCTGGAACTGGCTAAGTACCTCTTGGCTGGCTGGCGGAGCCTGGCCCAAAGAAAGCATGAATAGACTGATCTGAAAACGCGGCAAGCTCATCTGCTGCACTTTGTGCTGTGTCTGTAACATGGTACATACGGGTCCTGCCATGTGATCTCCTGATACAATCTGGTGAGATCTTTTTCCTCTTCTCTAGGTCATGACCTAGACTCCATGGGTGAGCCATGGAGAAGGTTGCTCTAGGAACATGAGCCTTCTCTGCCCCTTTCAGTCCTTCACTGTTGCCCCATCCCATTTCCCCTTATGCTCTGGCCTCCCATCCCAGTCACTGACTCTCGGGGCCGAGACAGCAACAGACAGTCATTGAAGAGATGCAGGTGGACCGGACGCGTGTTCAGTTTCCTTCGCAGCCCTGGGGAGATACTGAACTCCAGAGCGGTCAGCTCTCCACTCTTCACCAGCCAGCGTGACTGCGAAATGAGCGGGAATATCTAGAGAGTCGGGAAGAGAAAGTAGACAGTGTCGTAGACAGGATGAGCATGTACCTGCCCTCCTCACCGTGCCTCTTCCTCCTAGGTCCCACCATTGACAGTCATCTCTTTCACGTCTTCCTTGTTGCATAACCCATCCACTTAAACCTGGCTTCTCTCTGAGCCGACTAACTACTGCTGTCTGCTGTTGCGTGGCTCCCACGTCCACAGCTCAGGCATTGGAAGGTGGTTCCAATGTGGTCCAGCCCAGGAGAGTGACTACATGAGAAAGCTCAGCCCTCGAAGTCTGAACTGAAGAAGAGATGGAAGAACCCAACTGGGGCATGTGGCAACAAAGCAAAGAACAGTACGATGTCTCTTTTAGAAGCTAAAAGTTTAAGGCAGCTCTGTTCTTTCTTTGATTATAACCAGAGACACAAGAGGAGCAGTTGGAATCAGCCGTGGGGATGAGAATAGGAGAAGGAAGTGGGGTCTGCCTGGAGCTGGGGTTTGGGTAAAGGTAAGGCACTGAGCTACGATCAATATGTAGGTAGGGGATTTCCCTCTCTTCTAGGGAGATGGGTGGTTTCTGCTCTGGGCTGAAGTCGAGGTGCACAATGTCTACTTTAAATTTGTATTTGGATTAGAGATTTTCGCTCTATATTTGGATTCAATTTTATATTGCTTTGGTTAGATAAGGAGGAGACAGGATAAAATAATCAATGGATCAAGCACCAAAAATACATCTTTATAAAGGCTTACATTTGATAAGTTCTCCCATCTGCCCAGTTCCCAAACACACACTCTCTCCCTCAGGTAGACACTGTCCTTCATTTCTATGTATCTTTCCACAGTTTCTTTAAGGATACATAAACAAATATATATATACAGATTTGTATCTTCCTACTTTTTCATCAAAGGTAAGATATGTGCCCATGTTCCCTTTTCACTTAACAGCAAATCATGGATACTGAAGTAGGCAGTGAGGTCTCCAGATACAGGGCAGAACAGAACGAGTGCAGAAATGGGGTTAGAGACTGGGAGACTGGGAGCAAGAAGGTTCTACGTTAGAGGGTGACCTGTGGGATTTGCTAAAGAGCATCCCGGGCAGGGTGGGGCCCTTGGGGCCAACTTACTTTGCACTCAAACTCAATCTTCTGGCTCAGGTAGATGAGCTCCTCCGTGTGCCGCATTCTCTGGACATTGCTATTGCAGTCTCGGATCAGCTGAGTGTTCAGCAGGGAGAGGAGAGAGGAGCAGGACAGGGTTAGAGGCCTAGGCTTTGAGTCCCCTGCAAGAAAACTGGGAGCTGGTCGTGACAGCCTCTTGTCTTTTCTACCAGCCTGGGACTGAGCGGAAACAGCAAGACACTGAAGTTCTAGGACTACGGTATATTTTGCATGACCTGATAGAACATTTCTGAGCTGCGCGAAAGTAAGATTTAATCTGGGGACCATGGCAGGGAGTGCACAGTCCCTTGGTGTGGAGTGTCCTTACTGCGGGAGTGGAGGCTGTGGGATGTGTCAATTTGGCGGTTTGCTGAGTGCTGTGAGGTAGATGAGCATGAACGGGGCCTGCGCTTTCTGGAGTCATAGGCCTAGGCGGGGGACAAGTTCTCTGTGAAGGACAACCAGGGGATCAGAGTAGGGGTGGTGGCTGCCTACCTCCTCCAGGGCGTGGTGTGCCTTCGTGGCCTCCGCTTCCTCTGAGGAGCCAGGCTGTGTTCTCTTCAGAATGTTCTACAGAACACACCGCAGGCAGGAGCCAGATGGAAGGAAGGGATGGGAAACAGGAAGAGGTAATTGGGGGCGAGTTAATGGAGAAGTCTAGGAACAAAATTTGAGCAGCAAATATTTCTGAGAAAGAAGGGTGTGGGCAGTGGAGAGACTGCTCACATTGTCCACAGGGTGTGGAAGAGTGGCAGAAGAATGGATGGTCCCCTTTCCTTTGGGGCTACCCAAGACCGCCCCTTTGAATTAAGCGGAGAGGACTGAGGTGGGATCTGCGTACCTGGAGCAGCAGTTTGAGACGGGTGATGCGCTGGAAGGGCAGAATCAGAAAGGACTTGAGGGAAAGGCGCTGGCAGACAGGGTCACTCTCCAGCTTCTCCAGGACCTCTCGGAAACTGCTGTTGCTGTTCCTGCGTGAGCAGCGAGCCTCAGGTGAGGAGGGAGATGGGGAGGACTGGGGGACACAGTGAAACCATGGGGAGTGGAGGCCTGGTGGAAAATGTCTGTAGGTTGGGAAAGAATGGTGGGTCCAATGCACAGGGGTCCCAGATGTGATGGCCGAGGGCATCTGATCTGGAAGCTGGGTGGGGCTTGAGATCACGGGGCAGGGACAAGAACAAGTGCTCTCGGGGGAGGACTCTGGGTTGGGTATTGCGGGTTTGTTGCAAGGTTACTGCAGGGCCCGCACAGGGACTGAATGGGAATCAGGTCTCACAGTAGAGTTTGGAAGGTGCGTTCCTGGTAGGTCTGGTTGGTGACATAAGGTAGGTAGACCCGGCGGAAGTTGGGAGCGTGGTTCAGGACCACATCGCACACTTGGAAGGTGAAGATGTTGTTCTCAAAGTTCTCTTCCAGGTCTGAAAGGAACCTGTATGGAATTCAAACAAGTCTCGTGAGACCTGTGGGTGTCGAGGGAGGAGTTGGCTGACCCCTGCCATACTCTGAGCTTTTAACTTCCTCTCTCCATTAGCCATTAACGTCTATTGACTGTCCTTAGCTCTGTCGCCCTTGCTCTGCACTAGAGTTCTCTCCAAGGCTGTCCCCAGTTGGCCCCTAATCGAAGTCTCTGGTCCTAAGATTCCATTTCTTGTCCTTCTTTTGATCCTGTCCTGGTTTTCTGATGTTTAGATGTTTCCCATCTCGTCTCTACTGCAGCGCATGCCCATAGTACACCCAAAACCGCAACCCTGGAGGCATTTCTCACTCATTTATCCATTAAGAGACCCATCCACCCACACATCTTCTCCCCTCTTTGCTCTTTCTATCCCTGCAGCCACTGGAAATCATGGAGGGAGCAAGGAGAGGATTCTGAAAAAGGAGAAAAAACAACAAAGAAAGGTTTACAGGCTAAAGACAGTGAGGCTGAGTGAGTGGTATTCGGGAGAAGGGGAAGCTCACATGGTGCTGACGTCACGCACATCCTGTAAACGTGAGAAGAGCCACTGATGATCCTGGTTCGAAAGGATGGCCCGGAGCTGCTCTGAATGTTGGAAATGATCCACAGCAATATGTAGACTGCGCAGGTATGAGGCCTCCGACACAATCAGCTCGAATTTGGCCTGGGAGGTTAGGGAGGGGGAAGACTGATTAAACACATTTATTGAATCCTTGGCATATGCTAGCTACTGTGCAATGTTTTAGGGGCAGAGCGGTGAGCAAGATGAATCTTTTTCTAGCTCACAGTTACATCAGAACCCAGCCTGATACCGGGGGAGAGGGAAAGAACGTTTGAAAATGAGGGGAAAATATGTGTGAGCCTTCAAAGGTAGAAGAGAAAAAGATGCTCTCAAGAAACTCAAATAAATTGAGTATCCTGGGAACCAAGTGTCCTAAGCAGGTAGGGGACCAAGCTGAGGAGGCCAACAGAGAGGAGGTCTGGAGGGTTATGCGAACTAGGTGAAACAGTTTAGACTGAAGACAATGGGAAAGCAAAAAGAGGCTGTCTGTAGAGGAATAACTTGATCTAATTTGCTTTTTATAAAGATATTTCTGAGCGCAGTATGGAGAAAAGATTTGAAGGAGCAAGGCAGTCATATTAGGAAACTGTGACAGTGATTCCAGATGTGAGATGAAGGCCTAATTAGCCAGGGAGGTGAAGAGAGGTAAGCCAATTTCATAATTATGTAGGAGGGAGATTTGGAGAGCTGGAAGAGTCACAGCTAATGCCTCCTGAGCTTGGTAACTGAGTGGACGATGGAGTTCCTTACTGAACCAGAGAACTTGGAAAAATGAACAGATTTAGGGGATGAAGGTAATTTGGGGTATGGGGAGAAACAGAGGGAAGCAGGCTATTTGAGAAGGAGATGGTGCAACTGTGGTTTAATAGAAATAGCCCAATTACTTGGAGGTGTAATGACCCACAACCCTGTTCTCTAGCTGGGCCGGTCATGTTCTTCATCCAAGCATGCAGCTTCCAGACAGACGAGTGGACAGAAAAGAAAAAGAACACAAACGCACACATCTTGGTGATGACTTGGGTAACTGATGACGCTGGCTGGGTGATGCTCTCATACAGCAACACTGAGCCAGGACACTAAAGGTTCATTTGTGTCCTGGCTCTAACATTCGCTGACTGTGTGACTTTGGGAGGCTCATTTAACCTCTCTGAACCTCGGTTTTCCTGTCTGTGTAGTTATAGTGACCTCCCCCCTCACAAAGACGTTGTGATGGTCCAAAGAAATAGAGTCAGTGGAAGCACTTTTGCCCACAAGCGCTATTTTAGAAAAGGAATCTATGTATACAAGCACAGAGACTTGTCTTCTCAGAAATGTGAGACCAGGGCTGGCCCAGGAGCCCTGGTGGACTTCCTAGTATTCTACAGTTGGTGAAAGAGAGCTAGGGTTCATATCATCTGCCCATTGTTTGGTCCATAAATATAAGCAGATTAGTGATTTTCTAAATATCTACATGTGCTTTAAGAGTTGAGGTCAGCACAAAGCCTGCAAGTTTGAGTTTCAAAGAAACTAAAAAGTTATACCTCTGTTTTTGGTTTAGTAAAAGCATGGTTTATCCATAAATTCTTTTGGCCAAAATTTTACTCCTGAAAGAGGGGGGGGGTGTATGGAACCAATATGTATCAAACTATGTAACTAGACACTATACTAAAAGCTAGATATGTGTTATTTCATTTAAACTCAACAGCAACCCTCATTGGTAGGCATATTACCCTTGATTTTTAGATAAGGAAACTGAGGTTTAGTGAAGTTACACACCTTGTTTAAGGTTACACAGCTAGTAAATGGTTACACAGCTAGAAGCCAAGATTTAAATCCAGGTCAGCCAGACTTGAAATTAAAGTAGTAAACCTTTTGCACGTGGTGTGAGGAAGTGTTGTAGTCTCATTATTTTACATGGAGCTGTCCAGTTTTCCCAGCACCATTTACTGAAAAGACTGTCTTTTCTTCATTGTATATTCTTGCCTCCTTCGTCACAGATTAATGGGCCATAAGTGGGTTTATTTCTGGGCTCTCTGTTCTGTTCCACTGATCTATGTGTCTGTTTTTGTGCTAGTATCATGCTGCTTTGATTACTATAACTTTGTACTGTAGTCTAAAGTCAGGGCGCATGATACCTCCAGCTATGTTCTTTTTTCTCAAGATTCCTTTGGCAATCTGGGGTCTTTTGTGGTTCTGCATAAATTTTAGAATTATTTGTTCTAGTTCTGTGAAAAATTTCATGGGTATTTTGATAGGGATTGCATTAAATATCAACTCGAAATGAATTAAAGACCTAAATGTAAGACCAGAAACCAGAAAAATCCTAGAAGAGAACATAGGCAGAACATTCTTTGACATAAATCATAACAGTATTTCTTTGGATCTTCTCCCAAGGCAAAATAAAAGCAAAAATAAACAAATGGGGCCTAATTAAACCTAAAAACTTTTGCATAGCAAAGGAAACCATCAACAAACAAAGAGATAACCTATTAAATGAGAGAAAACATTTGCAAATGATATGACCCATAAAGGGTTAATATCCAAAGTACATAAACATACAACTCAACATCAAAAATGTAAACAACTTGATTAAAAAATGGACAGAAGGCATGAATAGATACTTTTCCAAAGAATATATACAAATGGCCAACAGGCACATGAAAAAATGCTCAACTTTGCTAATCACCAGAGAAATGGAAATCAAAACTACAATAAGATATCATCTCACACCTGTCAAAATGGCTATCACCAAACAGTCTAAAAATAACAAGTATGGGTGAGGATGTGGAGAAAAGAGAACCCTAGTAGACTGTTGGTGGGATTCTAAATTAGTTCAGCCACTCTGGAAAAGAGTATGGAGATTCCTCAAAAAACTAAAACCAGAACTACCATATGATTCAGGAATTCCATTCCTGGGTATATATATTGAAGAAAAAGAAAACACTAATTTGAAAAGATACATGCACCTCAATGTTCATACCAGCATTATTTACAAGAGCCAAGATATGGAAACAACCTAAGTGTCCATCAACAGATAAATGGATAAAGAAGATGTGGTATATATATATACATACATGTGTGTATACATATGTGTATATACACATACATATACACACACACACACACAATGAAATATTATTCAGCCATAAAAGATGAAATACTGCCATTTCCAACAACATGGACGGACCTAGAGAGTATCATGCTTAGTGAAATAAATCATACAGATAAAGACAAATACTCTGTTGTCACTTATATGTGGAATCTAAAAAATAAAATAAAGGAAGGAACATCATAAAACAGAAACATATTCATAGATATAGAGAACAAACCAGCATTATCAGTGGGGAGAGGGAAGGGGGGAGGGGCAAGATAGGGTTATGGGATTAAGAGGTACAAACCACTATGTATAAAGTAAATAAGCAACAAGGATATATTGCAAAGCATAGGGAAATATAGCCACTATTTTGAAATAACTTTAAATGAAGAATAATCTATAAAAATATTGAACCACTATATTGTACACCTGAAACTAATATAATATTGTAAGTTAATTATACTTCAATTAAAAAAGTGGTCAAAATTTTTGGATTGATTACTATGTACTGGGAACTTATCTTTGTGCGATTCTCTCAATAATTCTTTGCAACCCAATTTTACAAGTGAGGAAATAAAACTTAGAAAGATCATGGCCAAAGTTAAATAGCTAGCAGATATTAAAGTGTGCTTCCCATCCAGGTCATTTACGCCAGAACCTAAACACTTAAACATTGTTTCACAAAGCTTTTCCACTGTGCCATATTGTCTTCCGAGGAAGAAATGTTTTAACCCATATTTTAGATCGATTATTAAGATAAGCTCTCCATGTAAAACATATTAATGGTAGTAACTTAACATCAGACCAGTGGCCTTTACCACAATCTTGCTATTGGGAGCAAGGACCAAGCAGAGACTGATGTTCATTCAAAAGCTTCTATGAGACCAACGGACAGCCGCAGGGGGCACTCTTCAAGGGACCCACCAAAAAGCTCCTGCATGTGTCTTGGTTGGAAAGGAAGACTTTAGTGTAGACTGAAACCCTGGTTGAAGAGGGAAATTTTAGTCTAGCCTGAAACTAGACTAACTACATTAACTCCACACTCCTCCCAACAAATTCAGAAGCATGGTCTCTTTGTATGAGCCCAAACTAACAGAAGTAAATGGCACGAGGAGGTGGGAAGAAGGGATAATGGAGACACCTGAAAGCAATTCAAACCCATCAGTGTGAGGATGACCCACTGTGGCGGTGTGCACGTGTGTGGTGAGTATGTGAGTCCATGGTGGGGACAGCCCGCTCTTGGTGATGGCGGTGAGTAGGAGATACAGATGAGAGCACTTCCCTCCTGTCTCCCCTTCCCCTGCCCCCACCCTGCCCTGCGGGTACCTCCTGGAGTTTTTGGTCCTCGTGGGTCATGGAGAGCAGCACAGCGCTATTGCGCACCGCCGGGATTTCCTGCCAGAGGGAGCCACTGGAGGCCATGGAGAGACGTTGCAGGTAGGACTCCGACGGGACCAGGGACTTCCGGGGCTGCAGGGGGAAGGCAGTCCCGGTTGTCTCTGTCAGGCTGTCCAGCCGCTGCTGGCTCTGAATCTCCTTGTTCAGAAACACATCACTGTACTCCTGGTAAAGCAGCTGAGCTACAGGGTCGAAGAGGCGTGGGAGAGGGAGAGAATTAGGGAGATGGGAGTGGAGGCACAGAAACAGACAGAAGCCACCAAGCCGCTTCTTGTCCTCCTGGCACCTCCTCTCCCTACAAATGCCACCACCCCGCTGCTGGCAGCCAGGAGCCCCTCTCCGGTCTTGGGCGGGTCTATGTTTCTGTTTCAAGGTACTCACAGGAGTTAATGAGCTTGGAGCAGCGTCTTGAAAAGCCTCCTGTCACCTCCTTTGGCTTTTTCTCTCTGTGGAGTGAAAAAGTGCTTGCTGGCCATCAGACGTGGAGAAGCCCAGGTGACTAGGTTCAGACAGACTCTGACCTCTGGGACGTATGCTGGAATGTCAAGGCCAAATCCCCAGAGAGGCCAGTGGCAGCCTGACCCACTTCAGGGTAGCTCAAAGCTATTTTGGATGTCATGCTGAACTTTCACAGGGGGGTTAGGTCATGGCCAAAGTGCCTAGAGGGACAGGATTTAGAGACCCAGCTGACAGAACCAGGTAATAAAAGCTCTGTCTCCCCTGAAATCCTGGTGTCTGTCTCTTCCCCTCCCTGCCACTGGAAGAGACAGGGTCCCAGAACCTTTGCCCACTAACGAAAATCTCAGTATCCCAAGAAAAGAGAGCACCGCTGTATCTGTCAGGAGAGAGTCTCACTCACCGGAAAACAATGGCATCTGAAAGGCTAAGGGATTTTTCCATGGCTGGACTTCTTGTGTCTGCAAATGGAGATGGGCAAAGTCACTGCGATTTCAGAGGGACATTCAGAGAGAACCAAAGATGGGAAGACCTGGAGTGGGAGATGTAGGCATCCGGGGAGGGGTAAAATGGTTCAGCAGGGAATCTGTGAGAGCGGGGAGTGCCAAAGTAGGAAGCATTGAGCACATTAGTACCCGGTGTGTCCTCTTTCCTGTGTCAGAATGTGAGCTGGACAAGTAGAAGATGCCTTCTCTGCGACTGGAAGGACATCAAGCAGATGTTTGTAACTGGAAAGTGGGATGGGGGGCGGTCCAGAATAACCTTGGGAGAAAGAGATGTGCAATAAAAGAACACTACGGTTGGGCGACAGACGGAGGTAGAAGGGAAGGAGAAGAGCATGGCCGTAAACTCAGACAGGCTCTCAAGGACGCTCCTCCGCGTTGGGGTTGGGTATGTGGCTGAGTGAAGCCCTCAGGGAGGCCAGTAGGCGCCTGGGGGACAGAGGAGGGGCGAGGTGGTCAGAGCTGGGGAGAGCCTGGGCTGACACAAGCGAGTGGTCCTTGCTCCTCGCCCACCTGCAGGGCCCTCGGGGAGGACGGAAGCTCTGCGCAGGCCTTGCCGGTGCCAGTCCTTGTGCTTGCTGGGCCCCTCGCTGGGGCCTGCAGCCTGGCCACGGCTACCCTCCGGTGGTATCCCTGGGTCCCGTCTGTGGGGCCAGCTGGACGCCTTCTCCAGACAGGGATGGCCGGGTTTTTCTGGCTGCCTGGCTTGGCCTAGGTCCGACCTCCTCAGGCCATTGGCTCCTTCCTGAGGGGCTGTTCTTCTCAAAGATCCTCTGGCAGGGACTTCAGATGTGTCTGAGAGCCCTGATTCAGAGGCTGGTCCCTGGGCCGCTGGAGTCCAGGGGGCAGTTGGGGAAGAGGGACTTAGAAGTGTTGTCACATTGCTGAAAGCCATGCCAGGGGACACTTCGCTTTTACTCCTGCTGGTGGAAGCCAGAGTGTCTGTGGCTCTGCCCGTGGCTGGAGGCCAGGAGGTCCGCCCCCCAGAATGGGGAGTGGAAACTGTCCACTCCTGGCAAACAGGCCTTGTCTTGGCTTGACCCCCTGAGTTCATGAGTCCTCCCTGAGTGCTCCTGCCCCTGGACTTTGGGGGTAACGGGGGTGCTTCAGCAGAGGGATCCATGATCGGGACTGGAGGCAGAGGCTTGTAGACCCTTGAGCTGCTTGAAGAAGAAATAGGCGGATGGTGGGGCTGGGGCAAATCAGGAGTTGGAGGCAACGGCTTGTTGTACCTCTGCCTGGGGGAGAAAGAGGTCTGGCTCTGGTGGGGAGCGTCTGGGGTGGAGGGCAGAGGCCGATGCTGCCTTGCCACGAGGGGGTCAGGAGCTTGGGGAGGTGGGCCTTTAGGGGGGCCATGTAGCCCTGGACCCAGGGCCACTGGAAGCGGAGGGCTGCAGCGCTTCAGCGTGGGGGCCACCGCATGGAGATGGCCGTCTCTCTCCACCAGAGATGGGTAGACCAGCCTCTTCTCTGGGGGAGGAGGGGGCGGGGGCTCATGGACCCTCGTATCTCTGGAGACAAGGGGTGGGGGAGAGCCCTGGGCAGGAGAACCTGGGACAGAGGCTGAGTGATGTGGGGAGCCCCACTGCTGACTGTGGGGGGCGCTGCCGGGCCTTTCTGGGCTTGCGGTGAGTTCCCGAGAGCCCTGCCCTGGAGCCGGTAACGAACTTGCGGACTCTGGAACGATGCCGCCGCCCCTTCCGCTCTTCCTGCTCCTCCTGGGGATCACAGAGCCATAGATGGCAGGTTTGGGGGGCCTCAGGGGCAACTCTGAATGGGAGAAGGAGAGTGGTAGTCCCGCCAGGTCCGCAGCTGGGTCTGTCCCGTGGGAGCCCGGAAAGGAGTTGCTTCTCAGGTGCTGGCCCGGCCCTGTGCGGCTGGCCGGGAGACCCTGAGGGCTGGCCCGGCCTGGTGAGGGGAAGCCACGGAGGGCAGCTGGGGGCGTCTCCGAAGCCCTGCAGGCAGAAGGGCTATTGGTTGAGAGAGGGGCCCTGGAGGTTTCTGGAAAACATGCAGCAACAGAGGACTCCCTCCTGGGAAAGACGACCGGGGGGCTGGCAGATGACGAGGCAGTTGTGCCAGGGGCAACTTCAGAAGGGCTGGAAGGCGCTGAATCTGGTGTCCTCGGAGGGGTCACAGAGGCGCTGGCAGGGACCACCTCAGCCCCCGGGCTGGATGCCGTCCCCTTTCCCGGCTCAGATTCCTCTTGCTGGTTGTTCTGGGCTGCTTCTTGGCCGGGTGACTCCCCTAGCAAAGAGCTAGGTAGAGAAATGGGCTGGCAGGACCTGCCTACTGGCTCCAGCGTAGGAGTCGGAGCTACAGGGGGCAGCTCTTCAGTGCTGGGCTCTGTCTGAGTCCCTGGAATCCTGCTCGTGGGATAACAGACATCCAGAGACAAGTCGCAGGGAGAAGAGACCTCAGGGGCTACCAGAGCCAGTGCGGAAGGACGGTGCTCAACTCCTTCTGCTCCCTTCTCTTCTCCCACCCCCTCCCATGTGTCCCCATCCCAACTCCCTGGCTCCTCCTCGCTCAACCCCACCTCCTCCTCCTGCCCCTCTACTGACATCCCTCTGCCCTGAACGCCCAGATCCTCTTGCTTTCCAGTTACTTTCACTGATTTTCCCTCTAAGCTTTGCTTCTCCTCACACTGAGCATTCAGGCTACTCTCTTCTGGCCCCGTCAACCCCCTCCTCTTCTGCTCCCCTTGTTCTGGATCCTTCTGGCCCCGCACCCTCCCCTCCCACTCACCGTAGCTCTGACCACCCAGCTCCCCGTTGTGCCCCCCTCTCTCTCCTGGTCCTGCAAGCAGCACAAGCTCTTGAATCTGCTCCTGTTGTGGCCTCTGATCTGCATCTGTACCATTAACCTGCCGTCCCATCTGTTCCTGGTCCCCTGAAAGCCCATCAGAACAAACATCCTCCCCCAAAGCTCCTTCCCCTTGACGTGCCCCGTCCTCTCCTCCCCGTTCCTCCAGCCCCTCGGCCTCCTGGAGGCGCCTGGGCCCCTCCACCCCTGGGCTTTCCTGCCTGACAGTCCCACTTTCTGGGTCCTGCGGCTGGCTGGTCTCTGCAGGGTGCTCTTCCCAGGACGGCCAGACGCTGGTCTGAGCAGAGGTGTCTGGGTGAGTGTCCTCCTTCCCTTCTGCTTGTCCAGGTCCCAGTATCAAAGAAGTGAGTTCCGGTCCAGATCCCACCTCCACGCTGCTGCCCAGTTCACTGGGGACTGGGGCGTTGTCCAGACGTTCACCCTGGTCTGGGCAGGCCCGGGGCTCTGGAGGGGCCAGTGTCCTTGCGTCTCTGTCTGCTGGGCTCTGGGGCACTGCCCCCAGGTCTGCTGGAGGGTCGCGGGCGGCAGCCATCAGGTCTTCCTGTCTGCTCTCCACATCTGCAGAGGCCTCCTGGGGGACGGAGGTCATGCCCTCAGCTGCGGAGTCATTCACATCCCTCCCCTCTCTCTGCGGGGTCTCCGAGAGTGTGTGTCCCTGTGCCCACTTATCAGACGGGCCCTCGCCCTCTTCTGCTTCCAGCTCCAAGGCAGCGGCCTGGCTCCCTCTCCTGGGAGCTGCGGGGCTCACACTGAACTCCGCTCCAGCAGGGACGGGAGCCAAGGCTCCACGTGGGGGCTCCTCAGTTTCCATCAGGGTGGAATCCTAAAGAGGAAGAAGAGACAAAGCTTTATCACCTCTTCTGCTTTTACGTGTCAGGGGGACAGACCCTGAAGAACGAGAACGGGGCACTCCTTTGGTTCCATTTACAGTCATTCTTTGGGACAAAGTATACTTCCAAAAACAAGCCAGAGAACCTATAAAATTTATCATGGATTTATTCATTTAATCAACATCTACCAGGTGACCCTGTTCAGTGTGGGGCGTTCAGCATGGAGCCTGCAGTCTTGTGGGGGAGACAGACAACAATTAGAGCGCAAGACCATTGTCAGAGAGGACTGAGGTTCCCAGTGGTCATTACCCTCTAGATTGGATTATGTCACAGTGTCTCTCCCTGTCTACACGCTGGACACCGAGAGTGACTCAGTCCCATATAACTCCCAGACTCGGTGAGTGACACGCCCTAGATCTAACAGCCCAGAGAGTCTGGAGGGGGAATCTTCCTTCCAAACTGTTGACGGGATTAACACAGGTCTGGCCATTCCGGCTGCCGGCTCGGGGACCACAGCACAGTGGACTCTCCCTTATACAGGGTCTGGGTTCCACTCATCTTACTTCCTCCAGGGTCTAGCAGAGCTGGTAACTAACAAAAGTTATTTTTTTTTTTTTTGCAGTTAAAGAGGCAGCTGCTGTAAAGTGGAATGATAACTAGACTTAGGTTAGAAGCATAGTAGATACAATAGTTACCCACCCACGTCAACCAGGTCCACGAAACTGAAATCCTCACCGCTTCAGTGGCCCCTTCTCTCCAGCAAAGCGAGAACTCTTCTCACTCCTTCTCACAATTTTGACCTTCCCACCTCTCCTCTCCCTTCCAGCAGAATATCTCATCTCCTACTTTGCAAAGAATTTACAACCCAATGGAGAGGAACTGATTCAGTTTCTTGCAATTCAGAGCAACCCACATTTCACTCTTCCCACCCTTCCCCTCTGATGGAGCAGAGCACCCTCCTCTCCACGCGCCGTCTTCCTCTCCCTGCCTTCCCGGGACCTTTGGCTCTGGCTTCTCTCTCTCTCACACACCTTCACATTCTCTGTTGGAACCACCCCAGCAGAATTTAAGCACGCTCACGTCTTTCTCATCTTTCCAACGTGTAAACGGAGTTCTTCACACCTGCTGTCTTCCTCCCCTCACACCTCACCTACCTCCAACCCAGGGTCAATGGCACCGCTCAGCCCACCTCCCCTGCAGTCTTCAACTTGCTAACTCCACACGACTCTATGGACGCTTATTTTGGTGGTTCTTGTCAGCACTGGGTACTACCGTGGACACGCATTTGACACTAGAAATACTCGTTATCTTGTTATTTGGGAGATGACATTTTCCTGATTTAACCCCTTAAGTTCCCCCAGTCCTCTAATGGGGTTACTGTCCTCTTTGTAGCTCTTACCAGCTTGAGTTCACTTGACTTCTCCTTGGAGGTATCTGTACAGTTACATTTTATATAATTAGGTGTGTCTTTTGGTTTATCATCTATCTCAAACAATAGGTGGTAAGCATCATGAGACCAAGAACAGTTGTCTATACCAAGCACAATGCCTGGCCATTCTACGTGCTCGGTAAACATTTTTCAATTACGGAATTAAAGTCTTGCTCCTGTCCTGGCCCACATTCCCCATGGCTAATCAGTCACCAAGTCCTATTAACCCCACCTCCTAAATACCCCTCAAGTCTGTCCATTTTCCTCCACCTCCGCTCCAGAGCCTGGTGCAATGCTACTGTCCCCTCTTACCCTGGCCTCTGCATCAGGACACAGCTGGCTGCTGGCCTCCACACAGCTTCTCTCCCCAGCACCTGAGTGATCCTATAAGCCCCACTTCTAGTTTAGATTCTTCAGGAGCCTCTGATGACCACTGGGATGAAACTCAAGTATCCAGCATGGTGGATCTGCCCTCCGCTCCCTGGCCTCTGCCCTCCTCTCCAGCAGCCTCCTCACCTGTCAGCACCTCCCCCACCCCATCAGCTCCCGGTCCCTTTAGTTCGCCTCCCTCTCCATCACCTGTAGGCCTTCACATGTGCTGTTCCCTGCCAGGAATCCTCTTCTTCTGCCTGGAGACCCCTTGACTTCTTCTGTCACACTGAGTGCCCTTGGAGTTACACATTCCATGTCTATTTTCTGGGCCAGACCATGAGCTTTGTGAGGACATCAGTGCTGCTGTATTAACTGCTCAGTCCTCTCTGCCTGATGCTTGGTTGACCCTCAACAAAGATTTATTGCATGAATAAAAGAAGGAAGGAAGAACACAGACTTAAAAGAGGGCTGTCCAACTTTTTGTCCTGCCTTTTTTGTATCTTGCTGATTTTAAGACAATTGTAGAAATCATGTAATTTATTGGAACATTCTTTTTCTTAGCTTTAGAAAGGGGATAATATACTCCCTTTGCAAAGAGTTCTAATAAAGATTAAATAGGACAACACAAAAAATAAAGTTCATTGTTAACTCTGAAAGTAATAGAAATGTTAGGGATTGTAAGTACTGTTGGAGAGAGAGAGAGCAAGAAAAATGTGTAAGAGAGAAATATAGGATCTATGAGCTGGAAGGACTTTTAGAGACACAGAAAACTTCGCCTAATTTACGGATGAGGGAACTGAAGATCAGGTAACTTAGACACCTGATCAAGTTTCCTAAGCAAATGGTACAGGTGAACTCAAACGAAGTTAAGTCTATCATAAGCAACCAGAAGTCGGGCTGTAAGAAAGCTGGCAGGTCACTCGTCTAGAGAAGACCCTGGGGGCCTATAGTCTCACAGCTGCACATGGACTCACACCTCTCCTGTCTGGTCTAGGGTTCAAGGAGAAGCCCACCGCCCCAAATGCCTGCTGTCTGGCTGGGATATTATACAGGTGTGCACTCTTACACAAGTCCCCCCCGCCCCCCCGCCCCATACACACACACTGAGCCACCCTCCCAGGTTCTATGCAGGAGAGCCTCACATAACCAAACAGGCAGGTCCCCGGCCACCCTGACGATGTGGTGTGCGACAACTTCTCCGCCACCTCACAGACACAGATACCATCTGTACGGGGTCGAGGGCCACAGCTGACACAAGCATGCTGTGCAGAAGGACTTTTACGTCCTTTTTCCAGTTAACTGACACAGTGCCTGATTTGCACCCTACATTCAGCCCTAAGTACAAAATACTATAATCACTCTGGTTGATACCATGACGTGACCCTATTCTCCTAACCGCACGTTAAATAACATACTTGCTCACGGCTCCTACCTGCCTAAGGAGACCATGTCACTCAACCTGTAGCCACCCCTCAGTGGTATGTGTATTGTCCCGGCCCTCCACCCAGACACCCTGTCAAGTCCTCAAAACAAGCGGCCTCTAAATACATAAGCGTATTTCTGCTACATTCAGGTTATATCTACAGACGGCACGTGCGAGGTGATCACCTTCAGGTCCATGCTAGTGACACTGAGTGTCTGTCCCCTGCAACCCCATCCACGTGACTATTTTTTTTTAATCGAAGTATAGTCAGTTACAATGTGTCAGTTTCTGGTGTACAGCATAATGTTTCAGTCATATATATACATACATATATTCGTTTTTATATTCTTTTTCATTACAGGTTACTAAAGGTATTTAATATAGTTCCCTGTGCTATACAGAAGAAATTTGTTTTTTAATCTACTTTATACATAGTAGTTTATATTTGCAAATCTTATTGACATCATTTTCAACACTCTCTTTACCCATTTGGAAACACCCGTGGTCATGGGCTTAGCATTTCCCTGTACTTGATTCTGCCCTAGAAATCCTACTGGAATCAGGCATTCCAAGCCTAAAAGGTGACAAAGCTAGAGGGCATCTGTAAGTCGTGGTTTTACTCACATAAAGGCAGCAGGAGAGAGACTTCTGGCACTGCCCCATGCCAGAGCCGCCTCCTAGCCTCCCCCACTGGGGGGGAACGATCGCTTCTATCTGAGCACAGCAAAGGCAGAGCATGGCACCATGGTGATCTGGCCTTCCTCCAGACCAGAGTTGTTTCTGCATCTGTGGACCTTGTCCACTTGCGACTTCTATCAAGACGAAGCTCCGAGTCTCCCCAGTAACGCGGTGTGTGACAGAACTCAGCATCCCCCTAGGGCGCCCCAGTAGCTTAGCTCTTGCCCATTTCTAGCAACTAGATGTGAACCTGTACTTTAAAGGTTTCCCTCCTCCTCACCCCGGCACCCATCACACTGCTTCTTCCAACCAACGTCAAGAGCCTTGTGTACTTTGAGGACCGTGCTCCCTGGATTTTTTAGCGGCGTCAGTTTGCAACACTGACTTACACCACAAACCACTGATGTGCTCTTGAAGTTACAATACTTCTGCGTTTACACGGCATCGTCTATATTCTACCTTAGGAAAATACCCACCAAACTGAAAGATATGTGCTCATTTTGATTTCAGAAACAAGATCACCAGATCGGTGGATGCCTTTATTCACTGACATTATTGCTCTTGATGCTACAAAGATATCAAAGCAAGAGTAGCTTTCTGGACCGCTAACTGCTAAGCCCTGTGCTCTACTCATTTTAGGAACATCCCATCATCCCAGTGAAAACTGTAATAAACACTTCTTTCTATTCTCTAACCTCTGAAAATATCACATCACCCACTGCCTGGTAGAACCGATGGGGACACAGACCGTGGTGAGTGGCAGTGGGGACATGTACCCCACAAGCCCATCCGTGGCCCTGGAGCCATCCACACAGATGTGAGTGGAAGTGACCTGTTTGTGTCACCTGCAACATAGACCCAGAGGGTGACCTTCTTCTAGTCCACCTTGTAGACACTATACATGACCAGCTCCTGTTCCCTCTGCAGATCTGGTGAGTGACTCAGCCCTGTCTACACCAGATGCTATACCTCATCTGTTTGGGTCTACACCACTGAAGTGACGCTGACCTCCTTGTCCACACCACACAGTGAATGACATGTGCCTGTCTATCCCACAGACACTGTGCTTAATGTGGCCACAGACAACCCCAGACAGACCACGCTGTGGGCAGCCACATGCTCTAGGGGCCTGGATCTGTGAAGACTCTTGACTGCATTTAGAATCACTATATTCTTCTGGTAAGAGGGATTCCTTCACACACCTCCTGATGGCATCCATTCCTCCTGCTGGACAGTCTTGCTCCGAATTGACACCCCCCCCATCCCCCCCAGCACCCAAGAACCCCTCAGTGGCCATGGCTCCAGTTTCAGGCCCACAGGTTGGTGAACAAGCAACTCCCATTTTGCCAGGGCCGAGGCCCGGTGCTCCTTCACACCCCAGGTGTAGATGAAGCAGGAAGTCTGAGCAAGAGGCCACCACTGGGAGCTCTTTAGCCAGGAGCTGGGATTCCTGAAACAGCCAAGGATGCAAGACCCTGGAATGCAGGGAAGGGCGGGGGTAGCAAAAGGGGTAAGAAGCTAGAGAAGAAAGTCACCCTCTCTCCCTTGTCTGTTGGACACACCTTTTCCCCTCAATCTGACAAGCGTCCTGGCCAGAGTTCACTTCTAGGGAGACAAGAGGGCAAATCAGTCTTGGGATCCAAGATCCAGGAAGGGGAGCAGGGCTGAGACCTGAGGACCAGGTGGCTCCAGGATGGGCTCTCCTACGACAAACTCGCTGCCGAGGGCAGTGTAGACGGAGGGCAGTGTAGATGATGCCAGCTACCAGAGCTCCTGGGGGGTGTCCTACAACCCCCCACCCCCCCTACCCCAGCTCTGAAGCGCTCCCTTCTCCCTTCCCAAAGTTCTGAATGCCCTGTTGTGATCACCAGGAAGCTTTGGAAGGACTCCCCAGGTGTAGGGAAACAGGGTGGGGGCAGGGCAGGAGTCTTTTTTGTTACAGGTTAAAGCACCTTGGCTAACAGAGAAGAGCCCCGTACTTAGACAAACACGGTATGCGAATCCAAAGGAAGATAAATGAAGGAAGGCCCAGGCCTGGTGAAGAAAAAGGAGCCAACAAAACATCTCCAGGTAGGGAGTCCGTCCACAAAGGGCCTCTCAGTTACTCCTTATTGTAGAGGTTGGCTTTCCCCAGGGCCTAGACTTTGAAGAGCCCTGATTACCGGCCCGGGGCACATCCAGGGGCGGGGTGCCCACTTCCAAGGCGGGACCAGGCCAGGCCGGAAGCAAATTTTTCCAGGGGGGAGCATTTGCTCCAGCTTCCCTCCTCTCCCAGCCCAGGGGGGGACTCGGTCCCACACCCCGAACCCAGCCTCTCTGCCCAGCTCCCGCCCTCGCCGCGCTTTCCGGAGCCCGCGCCCCGGGACCCAGCTGGGGCAGGTCCCAAGGTGAAGGCC